TTGATAAGTTGTGAGACAAACGAGATACAACGGATACATGAAATTGAAACATCTTCAATATACGTAGACCTGTAGATTTGAAATTAAAGGGGCTATAACAATTTTGAATGCGGCTCTTATCTTTTCACATTTTTTATGTGAAATTATATGAAATGAAAAAGTTTTTGAAACCCCCAAGGTTCTATCTTTACTAGTGAGAAAAAAACCTCCAATGCATTAAAAAAGTGACTAGTGTCACTTAGTTAAATCAAAATTAACACATTAATATAATATTAAAATAATATAATAAATAAATTAAATATTAGTACATGTTTTCTTACTTTCGTCTATTATGAGTATCAACTGACAAAATGTTTATTAATTTTTTGATTAGGTTAAATAATAAGTTAAATAATATAGGGTGATATACGGCGATTGTAAGTTAGACGTTTCTGGAGAACCGGTAATAGGATTTTTTGAAAATTTCATCATTTGATGATGATTTTTTTCATCTATCTAATTATTTTGAGAGTTTTTTTTGGGGGGAGGGGGGGGGGAGAGGAAAAACCTTTTAAAGATATCTATCGGATGTTCATGACAGATAGTGTGGGATTTCCACCCACTAAAAAACTTCATCCTTTTCTTCACTACATGTTGGAACTACCGGTAAGTATTACTTCAGCATGCAGCTCTGTCTTCTATTTAATCCTTCTGTCTTCTCTTTAGGTCTGCGTGTTTTATTTCTAATATCTTTTTTGCCATATCGGATACAGAATTCCATACAACTCTTGATTTTAACATTTGTTCTATTATATTGTTCGGGTCTAATTTCAGTCCCACTTCGTACTCGCTCTTTTGGTTTCTTGTAACACACTCAATATAGCGTCTGTTGTCGAAGATCCTTTTATAAACCCATACTGGGCTTAGCTAGTCCCCCTTTTTGGTTTAGCTCCTCATTTATGCGATCTTTTAATAAATGCTCTAATAGTTTCCCCATGCGGTCAAGTAGGCAAAGCAGTCTAAAACTCGGAGCTTGCTGTTCTGATTTACTCGGCTTCTCTAAGAGTACTAGTCTGGCTCTTTTCCAAACACTAGGAAACTCCCCGATAAGCAATTGTAGGTTCATTAACAATAAGCAATCGTCTGGGAACTTTTCTGCTATATACCGTATCAACTCCGGTGGTATCTGATCAGGCCCATGTGCTTTTTTGGTTTTGATTCTCATGGCCGCATTCTTGAGTTCTTCTTTACTAAACATTGGTATGTCTTGTTGTTGGATAGATATGTTTTCCCAGTTTGGTTTCTCTGATTTTGGAAATAATTTCTGGGCTTCCTCTATTCTGATTTTTTCAGAGAGATGCATAGGTGGTCTTAGTTTGAATGAATTTACTACTATTTTATAACCAATTCCCCATATATCGTTTTCAACTTCTTCCAGCACATTTCTTCGCCTTCTCTATAGCCTTTTTAAGTTCAGATCTTTCTTCTTTATACTGATCTCTAGCATAATTCTTTTCCTCCTCCGTCACATGTAGCTTATTTTTACGTGTAAAATGTCTCCTCTTTAATTGGCGTTCCTTTCTAATATTCGCGATTTCCGCTGACCACCAGTATACGGGTTTACTTTTATCATTCCTTATCCTAATTGTTTCGAAAGTTTTATCACAGGCTGTTCTGATAAGATTCATAAAAGTGTAAGGTGAAATATTTGTGTCTTGTCTGGTAATATATTGTTTTAACTTTTCCGCGAATATTTCCATTTTTTCGTCTTGTACTTTCCATCCGCCATGAATGCTGGTACATTTATTTGTGTGAGCCATGGAATAACCATTATTACTTTTGACATCCGGAATATTAAGGATGATATAATTGTGATCGGAGAGACTTTCTTCATCCGATGTTACCCAGCTTATATTTCGTGTTGCTAATATACTACTTGCAAAAGTGATATCGATATAAGACTCTGTCATGCCTCTCCTAAAAGTAGGAGTTTCTCCTTCATTCAAAACTATTAGATCTAGTTCGGCGGACCATTCTGACAAAATATCCCCTCGGTTGTCGTTCACTGGTAATCCCCACATTATAGATTTTGAATTAAAATCACCTCCCTCTAGGCATGGTTTATTATGGGATACTATACTCTGTTTAAGTTTACACAGGAATTGGTTAAAAATCTCCATATTTACATTTGGAGAGATATAGCAACTATAGAAAATCATCTCTGGAAATTCTACTATTTTGAGAGTTACCGTATGATGTGAAAAGTGGTAGCATCTTTGTTATTTTAAATAGAACATCCGGTATATTATTAAATTTTTGGAAGCTATTTTTATATCTCATATTTTTTTCTGATATACTAACCTATACTTGTCTTTAATAGTTTTCAAGATAATAATAAAACATATCTAAAATTGACAAAAACGTGATTTTGAATAAGCATAAATTGAACATTTATAAGGTTGAAATATGGGTTAGAAGTTAACGAAAGTCGATATATTCGATATGTCTAAATCAACCGATTGGATATTAAACAGGAAGACCAAAAAATATTTATTTTTGCTTGTTATGAAGATCAATCAAATTAGAGGGTTCACTTGGAAAAAAGTGTTGGAAAGTTAATTGTAGTCTTGATTTATTCAGTTGACGTGAGAGATAAATATCCTAGTTTTGCACGGTTGCTCGACCGCCGCTCGACTCAGGAGGACTAAAAGATGGTAAAATTCTTGGACTTTTTTCAGATTTTCGCCTATAGTTCCAAAACGTTGCATCCTAGCTAATATTTCACTATTACAAAAATTCAAGACCATTAAATTTTGCGTATGAGTATGAATACAATCTGTTATGAATTCAATAGAAATGTTGAAGGAGGATTTAGACCGATTGAAAACCGAACCATCAACCAACCAAAACGCACTGTTAATCAACGGCGTCGCAGAAGCAGAGGACGGAGCAAGTGACCTCTATACAACTGTCACCGATTTGATAAATTCAAAAATGGACATCGAAATTAATAAGTTTAACATAAATATTATTTACCGTATGGGAGCAAAAAATGGAACAACAACAAAAAAACCCAGATCTATAGTAGTATCGTTTTGTCAGCGCTGGCTGCGGGATCAAATCATTATAGTAAGAAACGTTTGAAGGGATCCAGGCTTGTTATTACAGAATTTTGTCGGGCAAAAGCATGAGAATTTATAAAGAAGCCAGAATGCATTTCAAAAACTTGTGTTGGACAGCAAATGGTAAAATTATAGTGCATAGTGATGGTGCAAAAGTGGTGATTGGTTCATCCGAGCAATTGACTGAGTTGATTGTATGAAAAACAGTATACAATGATGCGGTCTGAATTTGTTCAGAAGGTATGTATTTATTTTTATGTTTATATTTATGAATAATCTGGTCGTACAGGGACGTATTATTAATCAAATTATTAATGTTTTGACGATACAGTACTTATTTTTAAATGTACATTAACTTAGTTTGGTTTATGTTTAGAGATACATATTTTTTCTTGTAATCTACATATAATAATGATGGGTCCACTCTTATCTCTTTTTTTTTGTTTTTTTTTATATAGAATTTGTTATTATTGGTGTTATTGTTTTATCAAAAAAATCAATATCTTATTTTCAGTTTTATTTATGATATGGTTATAATAATCTTTTTATAATTATAAATTTTGGATCGGCTAGAGTGTTAATTGAATAATGCTTTTTCCCAAAAGCATTTTTTTGTTTGATAGTTTTTGGTTTTGTAATTTGAAGGGTATGAGCGGATATAAAAGGGGAGGCATTTTATTTTGGATGGTTTATTTGTCTGGGTATGGCTAGCATCATGGATTCGGGCGGTCAGCAGAGCAATAGAACGAGTAAAAAATTTTGTATAGGACATTTAAATGTTCGTACCCTAAATACCGGTTTTGACGAATTTGTTCACTATCTAAATAATTACCGATTGGATGTTTTGGGTCTATCTGAAACTTGGTTGTCATCTAACTATGGAAATGACGCTTTCAGTGTTACTGGATATTCTTTTGTTAGAAAAGATAGACATGGTCGAGGAGGAGGTGTGGCAGTATATATAAAAAAAAACATTTATCATACGAAATTCCTCATTTGGATATTGCTACTAATTTGTGTGAATTTATAGCCGTCCAGTTAACCATAAAGCAAAGAATATTTTACTTTTTTATTTATATAGGCCTCCTTCGTCAAATATTGAAGATTTTATTAACTTTCTGGAAAACTTGTTGAGTAATACTGTACCATTTTATGACAATGTGGGTGATTTTAATATTAATTTTTTAAAACAATCTCCTGTAACATTGAAGGTATCTAAAATTTTAGAATCTTTTAATCTTGTACAGATTATCAACGAACCAACTCGTTTTTCGGATGGTGCCTGCAGTCTAATTGATGTAATGATCACAAATAATAATTTTAATTATGATTTCAGCACTTCCGTCCCTGTATCTGAGTCAGTTTCTGATCATTGTTTGATATATGTTATATTTACTCTACAAATATCCCATAGCTCTACGAAATATATTGAATATAGAGATTATAATCATATTAACCAGGAAAATTTAAAAAAAAAATGCAATTATGTTACCTTGGGAAAATATTTGTTATATAGCGGATATTAATATTAAAATAAAAACTCTATACAGGATGCAACAAATTCGAGGTACGAGCATTGGTAACCATTATAGATACTGTAATATATACATATTATTACATCATGTTTGCAGGTACATAGAATTAAAAAAATGTTGATTTTATCCTAGTTCTGCAATATATAAAATATTATTTAGATATTAAGACGCAGTTTCATTGTAGAGTTTATACTGGCTATTTTAAACATTATTAAAATATAGTATTATTAAAATATATATAAAGTTTGATTTCCACTCAACCACCGAGTATTTCACATTGGCGACGAGGATGCGATAATAATCAGTGTTAGTCTCCATTCCTGGAAAGAAGAAAAACATAGTTTGAAGAAAGATTTAAAAAAAAATGGGGGAAGCTGAGAATCCATCATATTATGGAAAAATGAGAGAATTCAGTGCTCAAAATAGTGACTGGAGGATTTATAAAAGGCGTCTGGAAAATTATTTCACCGTAAATGGCATAACTGACAACGAGAAGAGGAAGGCATTGTTGCTTAATGCTCTGGATGAGGAAGCATATAAACTTATTTATAATTTGGCTTTACCAAGATTACCAGAAGATAAGACCTACAATGAACTCACCGAACTGTTCAATACACATTTTAAAGTGGCTGAGTCAGTATTCGTAGCAAGGTCAAAGTTTTTTACTTCGTTCAAAGATACTCACGAAAATGCGACTGAATGGGCAGCAAGAGTACGAAGTATGGCAATTAATTGTAGTTTTCCAAACAGTTTTTGACATGATGTTACATGATCGATTTATCATTGGATTTGATAAAGGACAAGTGCAGTCAAAATTGTTTAAATTGGAAGTAAAGTAAGTAGGAAGGAAAGTAAGGAATGTAAGTAAGGAAAAGTAGTGCAAGTTGCTGTAACTGAGCTAGCAGCTGAGGAAATTCCAAGGAAATTCAGCGAATTTATAATTAAAAAGGAGCCATCAGTGCTACATACCCGAAGTCATCGTGCTAAAGAGAGTGCGGGAAGTTCAAAAAAATCCGAGAAAAGTGAAAAGTGTTCGTGTTGTGGTCGAAAAAATCATATTACGCAAAATTGTCGTTTTCGAAATTATACCTGCAATATATGCAATCAGAAGGGACATCTACTGTGTGTTCGAAGAAAGAAAATGCAGCTAGTGGTAGAAGAAATCACAAGAAAAGACTTACACAAAAATTTATTGAAACTGAAGAATTTTTTTCCGATAATGATAATGAGGTAATCAAAAATCCATTTAGTGTTGACGTGTTTATAAACGGAAATACTTATACTTTTCAGTTAGATACTGGAGCTAGTATTTCGGCAATTTCCGAAAAGTTTTGGATGCAAAATTTTTCACAGCATAAATTAGTTCACCTAAATAAATGTTTAAATGTTTATACAGGAGAAAAAATGTTAGCTCTAGGATTCTGTAAATTAAAAATATTTTTCAATAATATTTCTAAACTAATAGATATATATGTTATTAAAAATGGGGATGCACCTATTTTAGGTAGAGATTTTATGTCGTCATATCACTTAAACATTTCACAAATTAATTTCTGCAGTGATTTACAAATTGAAAATTGCATTAAGAAGTATAATAAACTTTTTTCGCCGGGTATAGGTACTTTTAACAGAGGGACGTGAAACTTAAATTAAAAAATGAATCAGTTGTACCAAAATTTGTTAGAGCTCGACCGATTCCGTATGGTATTAGGGAAAGGGTAGAGTTAGAATTACGTAACTTAGAAAATTTTGGAATTATTAAACCTGTTGATTTTTCTTCTTGGGCTACACCTATAGTTCCTGTCCTTAAGAAATCAGGTGAAGTAAGGATTTGCGGCGATTTTAAAATTACTTTAAATCCAGTTTTAGAAATCGACCCGTTTCCATTGCCTAGAATAGAAGATTTATTTTCGGTACATATTATTAGTACCTTTATTACAAGGTGGTATAATTTTTTCAAAAATTGATCTTTCGCAAGCTTACGCTCAAATTTGTTTAGATGAAAATTCAAAAGAATTAGTAACTATATCAACTCATAAAGGTTTATTTCAGTATCAAAGACTACCTTATGGTATTGCTTGTGGGCCATCTAAATTTCAAAAAATTATGGAATCCTTGACACAGGATATGGAAGGATGTGTTTGTTTTTTAGATGACATTTTGGTATGCGGTAGAAATCCAGCTGAACATTTGAATAGAATGGATAAATTATTATCTCGATTACAAGATGTAGGTTTAAAGATTAAGCCAGAAAAATGCAATTTTTTTCAGGATAGGGTATGTTATTCAGGTTATATAATTGACAAAGAAGGTCTTCATACAACAACGGAAAAAATTAATGCGATTAAAAAGGCACCTGCGCCGAATAATGCTGAAAAGAGCTGCAATCGGTTTTGGGTATGATTAATTACTATGGAAAATTTGTTCCTAATTTAGCAACGTTACTTAATCCCTTATATAAACTTTTAGAAAAAAAAATGTAAGATGGTTTTGGAATGAAGCTTGTCAAGAAGCTTTTGAGAAGGTTAAAGACATTTTAACGTCCGCTAAAGTTTTGATTCATTACAATTCCATGTACCTACAAACATGATGTAATAATATGTATATATTACAGATACGAACATGGTTAAATTGGGGCAAAGTTGCGCTTTAGGATGTTTACCAAGATTCCGTCATAAAATTTTTAAAAATTTCAAGGATTGCTGAGTTTTTTGGAAAAAACGGAATTTTTTGAAAACTAATTTTTATTTCTTCCTGACTTTACTTTTTAGGAAATCAAAGAGCAAATTGCACATTCTCATTGTCACTTTATTAGGGCTATCTGATAGTATTTTTAGATTTTCAAATTAGCTGATAATTTGTGAGATACAGTGGCCAACTTAATCTTGGAATTTGTTTAAATACGGACTTGCATTTTTTATTTCAGATTTTGAAGGAACTCGGTCTCCTGAGTACAATGATATGCCACACTTAATATTTTTATTGTTTCGGACATTTGAACATAATTTATTTATAATAATTTCAAGTCCGGCTCTGATTTTTTTAAAGATTTAATCTATTCATCGTTACAATATTGATAAGCTTTCAAACTTAACAATGACGTGGAGTAAAACACTGAATACGGAAAATCAAATGCAATAACTAAAGGGGCATTACTTGGCGTCATTTGTAAAAGTGAAATCAATACATTTTAACATTTACAATAAAGAGTACAAAATACATTCGGAACTATCACAAGAAGTTATGTTCAAAGAGCTATAAATAATCAACAAAAAATAGATTGTCCATTAGGAAGAGTAGTAACCCTTTCGAACATGTAGAGCATTAGAAACTAGTTTATAGAAGTTGATTTATTTATAACAACTACGATTAATATTATGAATATTATTAGATACACATTATATTATTACGATTAATTTTATTAATTAATTAGATATACATTAGTACACTGAGATTCCAAATTCACAATAATAAAGTTAAAAATAATATCTCTAAATTGCTGACCTGGATATTATTTATTTGAATCTTTGAAATGGCTTGATTTTTCTTATTCAATGTTAATTAGCGCTGATCAATATTGTTGCCAAGAATATAATCAGATTAAATAATTTAAAAAACCAAAGTCGTACTTGAAATTATTTTAAATAATAATTAACTAGTTTTGTTCTTGTTAAGGTACCCAAAACAAAAAAAAAATATCGAGTGTGGCATATCATTATACCCAGGAGAACGAGTACTTTCAAAACCTGAAATAAAAAATGCAGGTCCGTATTAAAATAAATAAGTTGGCCTCTGTATCTCACAAATTATCAGCTAATTTGAAAATCTAAAAGTACTATCAGGTAGCCCTAATAAAGTGGCTATGAGAATGTGTAACTAGTTTTGTTGTTGTTAAGGTACCCAAAACAAAAAAAAATATCGAGTGTGGCATATCATTATACCCAGGAGAACGAGTACTTTCAAAACCTGAAATAAAAAATGCAGGTCCGTATTAAAATAAATAAGTTGGCCTCTGTATCTCACAAATTATCAGCTAATTTGAAAATCTAAAAGTACTATCAGATAGCCCTAATAAAGTGGCTATGAGAATGTGTAATTAGTTTTTTGGTTTTCTAAAAAGTAACGACAGGAAAAAATAAAATTGATTTTCCAAAAAATCCGTTTTTTCCAAAAAACTCAGTAATCCTTGAAATTTTTAAAACTTTTGATGGCATCTTGGTAAACATCTGAAAGCGCAACTTTGCCCCAATTTAACCATCTTTGTATCTATTACGGTTTCCAAGATACCAATGCTCGTACTTCGAATTTGTAGCACCCGGTATAATTACATTTTTTGTCTCCTCAATAAACATGCACCGTTGCAAAAGAAGAAAATTTAAAAAAGGCATCCATTTTTCTCAAAGAGACCTGGTTCAAATTAAAAAAGGTAGAAAGAAGACTCAAAGTCTCGGTCTCAACGTTTATACAATGTTAAACTGTTACACGTGTTTCGCTCATATACGAGCATCATTAGACAAATACAATTAAAATTAATCCGTATATGAGCGAAACACGTGTAACAGTTTAACATTGTATAAACGTTGAGACCGAGACTTTGAGTCTTTTTTCTACCTTTTTTAAAGAAGAAAATCACAGACAAACCATATTTACCCTGGATAACGGATAACATTAAATTATTAATAAAACTTAGAGACAAGGCACATCAAAAATATTTAAAACAACGATCTGAAGCCAAATTACAATATTATCGTCAACTCAGGAATTTTACAAAACATGCTATAGTTAGAGAAAAAATTAGTTATTTTGAGGGTTTATCGGAAAAGACCGGTAAAGACTTCTGGAAAGATGCTAAACGACTTAAGTTAACATTCAAATCAAGTCCGGAAGTTCCTGAAAACTTAGCGGATGTAGATTGTAGATAAGCTTAATATATTTTTTTCGAACTGTCATATAATTGCATTAATACTACCTCAAATAAAACAATAGATTTTTATAGGCAAAATAAGCATGATAAAATAAGAAATAATGTTCTAAATTTCAAACTAATAGATGAGGTATCGTGACATCAAATATTAAATTCTTTTCGGACTAATGCTGTCGGTGAAGATAATTTATCAACTAAAGCTGTGCATGCCTTACTGTGGTAAAGCGGTAATAAATATAATTAATACTTCTATTTTAAACAGTCTCTATCCCGAAATATGGAAAAAAGCTATTATAACACCTCTCTGTAAAATTTCCAAACCTTTAATTTGTGATTGATTTACATTGTGAAATAGTCATATCTGCCAGCGCGACCCCGGGGCTTAAAGCGGTGACGGCCAACCGAAAGGGTGAAATTTTGACACTAAAAATACTTATAATTGCCAAATAGCTTTTATTTATTGTGGCTGAAATGCCGGCAAACAACGCGAAAGAGGCATAGCATATTGACAAAAGAAAATCATCGCATACATGCATGTCGGTTGGTGGAATGTCATGTTTATTGTTAATTAATTTAAATAGCCGTATGCAAAAGGGCAGACAAAAAAATCGTTATTGAAATAATAAAAAAATATATTTATAATATAATCGTATATTATTTGATTTATCTATACTTAAATGTATGAGGCGGCCAGCGTTCCCTGAATAAAGCGTTAGAGTAATATCGCGCTTTTGATAACTGTCTGCAGCATACTGCAGCTGATTGAGCCACGATCTTTTTGTCTGCCCTTTTGCATACGGCTTTTAAAATAAATAAATATGACATTTCACCAATCGGCATACAAATATACCATAATTTTTTTCATTCTTCAAATTTAAATTTTTAATAATTTTTAAAATTTCATGCCACTTTCGCGTTGTCTGTCGGCATTTTAGCGACTAGAAAAATGTCTGCCAACAATTTTTCACGTTTCTTAATAATAAATAAAAGCTATTTTCGCAATTATAACTCATGTATCTTATAATATTTTTAGTGTCAAAATTTCACCCTTTCGATTGTATTCTGTCATTATAAACGTCAAAAAATTTCCAGTATAATTCGCTGTTGGGTGCCCACAAGGAAAAAACGTTCACTAAAATTTATCCGTTGCCATGGTGATTTGTCAAAAAACATGTTTTGATTGGTTAAAAATAGTTTCAAAATTTCACCCCTTCGATTGGTCGCCCCCGCTTTAAGCCCCGGGATCGCGCTGGCAGACATGATTATTTCATAATGGCTACACAAAAGGATACTTCACACAAAAAATTAGCCATGTAACGATGATAAGGTTTTTTATATAGCCAGCTCTTAGACTATAAATTAAAGGCTGCTCATATACGTTTGAAGAATTTTTCCTCTCTTAAGAAATATATACCATCAAAGACTAGGTATCAATTATGTAACACACTTATTTTATCTTTATTTGATTACGGCGATGTTGTTTATGGTACATCCATAAACGCTAGATTCTCTAGAAAAATCCAAATACTTCAAAACTCGTGTCTACGGTTTTCTTTCAACATTCCTTTTAGAGATCATATAACGCCACATCTTAAAAATTTATCTATTTTATCAATGACCAACAGACGACAATTTCATTTAATGACATTCATTTATCGAATTTTAATTACAGAGCAGCCTCCCTATTTGTTCTCATTATTTCACTACGTTGACCATGCTCATTCGACTAGGCAAGTGCATTATTTTAAAATTCCTCAACACCGAACAGCTAACTTCCAAAAATCTTTCAGTTTCATGGCGGCACATTTGCGGAATAATATTTCTAATAACTTTAAATTTCAATCCTTTACAGATTATAAAAAACAGATTAAAAACCATTTACTAAATTCGTGAAAATTATAATATCATTGACTGATTTGTGAGGTTCTTGTTCTTCTGATATGTCCGTCATTGGTTGCTGTTCCGGATATTACACTGTTTCGTTATGCCTCTCTGCTTGTCTCCGCTCATCCCTGATAAAATTATATTTAATCTTTTTTTTGTTTATTTATCGAATTTCTGTTTATTTTTGTAATATAATTTATTTCTACTTTGTTTTTGGGGTCGCACCACTCTGGCACTTTGTGTCTTTGTATCGGTTTTTTAATCGCGGTGCGATCCCTTTAGACACACATTTATTAAGAATAGTAAAACGAAATTATTAATTTGTAAAACGTAATATATATATATATATATATATATATATATATATATATATATATATATATATATATATATATATATATATATATATATATATATATATATATATATATATATATATATATATATATATATATATATATATATATATATATATATATATATATATATATATATATATATATATATATATATATATATGTTCCTGTCATCCCTTCGTGGGACATAGGGCTTCTAAGAGATGTTTCCATCTGATCCTATTCTGATCTGTCTGTTA